GGTCAGCAGGGGAGTCAGCTGGGTGTGATGAAGCGAGGGGGGGGTGGGGGGAAGGAGTGGGGGGATCCAGGACGGGAGTCTGCAGCCCATCCTGCCCTCTGGGGAGGGCTTGCTTGAACCTCTTCCTTCTGTAGCTGTCCCTCTTCTTGCTTTTGTCTGTCTTGGAAGTGCACACGTGATGACCCGGTGCTGCTCAGCACCCAGGTTAGAGCCTCTTGTGTCCCTTCTCCTTTCCCTGTAGGCATGTTTCCAGGACAGCTCGCTCCGCTACATGAATATTCACCAGGCACCAGCTCTGCAGCCGCAGGATTTAATCAGAAAGGCTGAGCATTTGTGATTAAAATGCCTCCCAGGGGGGTCAGTGCCTCCAGCCAGCTTTGGGCTCTCTTTGGTGTGTTTTTTTTCATTTGCAGAGGGTCATTCTCTTAACCACCTGCTTCCCCACGTGTGGCGCTGACGGGGAAGCAGCCCTGGGTGCGAAACCGCGGCTGGGCAGCGAGGTATGATGGAGCTTACCAGGCAGGGCTGTGGGGCTGGGGCTGGACCCTGCGCTGCCGCGGGGCGTTGGCCTGCCCTTGTCCGGCATGAGGGAGCTGCGGTCATGGTCCTGCCTTGCCCGGGGACTGAGAGGTGGCCCTGGTGTGGGAGCCCCCTCGTAGCACAGAGGTGGCAGGCAGGGAGGGAAGTCTGGCACCCACCGCTAGGGTCCCCGCCCTGAATATCAGGGAGACCTTTGCTGACCAGCCTGGCTCTTTCTGGTGCAGAAAGGCATCTGAGAGAGGAGACATCCCCTCCGAATGGCCCCTGGGCCTGTTGTGTACCGGCAGCACCCCAGGCCCTTTGAACCCTGCTGCCAAGCAGACGGGGCAAGCAGATGTTGAGCAGCAGCTGCGGCCTGCGGGGCAGGCCTGTCTCATCGCTGCTCCCTCGCCCTCCAGGTCCATCGTTCCCGGGATCGTCCCTTCTTTCTCCCTGCTTGATGCTGCTGCAGAGGTTTTGGTTGCCTCTCCACTGCGCTGGTTTTCCTCTCCTGGCTCACAGCATGGAGCAGGGTGCAGGGCCCCGTTACCGCAGGCTTCCCAGGGAAAGGAGCACTCAGGCTTCCCTGCCATGCCTTAGGCAGTGCCAAAGGTGTTGGGCACCCTGCAGCCCACCCTCTTCTCAGGCCACGGCTGCCTTGCTCCTCGGAGGCTGTGCTGGCCCCCGGCCTGCCCCAGAGCTCAGCATCACGTTAGCAGAGGCCTAATAACGGCCATAAATCAGGTGGACATCTGCCTGCCTATTGACTGGTGCTGAGCAGCCCACAGAGGGAGCAAAAGGTGCTCCCCTGGGCCTTGCTCCTGCTTCCGGATGAAACCATTTGCTGGAGGTGAGAGAGCGGGAGGCAGTTGGGATCTGACAGTCTCGTGCTTGCCTGGGCCAGAGGAGCAAACTGCGAGGGGTGGACAAAGGCTGGTTGTTAACCTCTGCTCGCTCTGTGCTGCTCCCTCCGTTTCAGAGCAAGCAGGGTGCCGCGTGGGAGGAGGTTTCTCGCCTTGCTTCCACATGAGACTGAAGCGATTTGATTTCAGAGGGAAGCAACCCCCCTTCCTTCAGGAGATTAGCTCCTGGGTGACTGTATAGGCACCTCGGCTTTCCGCAGCAGCTCCAGCCCCGCGCAAGCCTTATCTCCAGAGCTCCAGCACCGATGCGGAGGCTGGTGCTTGTGCTGGAATTTGCAGGGTCGCCAGAAAGCTTTCACCTTCTAAAGAGAAGGAAAAAAGAGAGGGGGGGGGAGAAAAGGGAGACATTTCAATCTTTAAATCCTCCTGCACTGCAAACTTCAAACAGGGCTTAGGGAAATCAAAAGGCATTGCAGCATGGCAGCCACAGGGAGAGAGGAACAATACAGGCCGCTCTGCTTGCAAGGCTGGAAGCTGTGAGATGGGCACGGGGAGAGGAGGTTGGTGTTTAAACCCTCCGACCCTTCATCTCCTTATGTTCAGGAGACTGGGGCTCACAGAGCTGCCAGGAAGCCTGCCGCTGCCTGGGCCAAATTGCACTGTGTTGCATGAGATGGAGCGGCGCTGTGCAGGGACTGGCCTGGATTTGTCAAACTTGTTTCACGTGTGACCTCAGCACAGTCTGGCCATGGCTGCCTGGTGGTGACAGCCTGGTCTGTTAGTCTTCCTCATGCGGCCTGGTAGCAGCACTCGTTTGTCGCAGGCAACGAGCAGGCGTCCAGGTCACATCCAAGCGCAGGTTTGATGGTGGTTTCCTAGGGAAAGGTGGTCACATCTGTCTTTCTGTCTCTCTCTCGTGCTGGCTGGTGTTAGCCACGTTTGCAGCAGGGTTTGAATCTCAAAGACAGCAGAGCCCTCTAGGTTTCTGGGAGCTGGGTAGGTGGGGTAGATCTGAAATGGCATCGCTGCTGGGGTAGCTGCTGCAGTGGGAGCTGGGGGGTTGTCTGTCCCGGCTGGCACTGCGTTGCCTGGCCCGCCCGCACGTGCGCGGCACGAGTGCCTCTCATCCAGCCGGGAGCTCGGGGATGGGGGAGCTGAGGGCTGTTGTCAGGGGCACAGAGGGAGACCAAAGGTAGCACAAGCCTGGGCCCGTGAGGAGGTGCTGTGTTTCTGCCGCCCTTGTGCCCAGGGGTGGCACCTCCACCTGAGAAGCAGCTGCCTTTTGCAGCAGCACAGGGGACGCGAGCGAGGGGGTACTGAGGTCATAGGTGTTTGGTAGAGCACTGGTGGCCGTGAGACTGCGAAGCTCAGCTAGTCACCGGGAGCAGTGCTGGGCCAGGAGGCAACCCTGGGGGCTCGCAGCAGGCCCAGCTGCCGACTTTGACTAGCCAGGTGACTTTGCACGGACTGCCCTCCTTCCTGGGGCTCATTGCTGTGGCTTCGTAAGGTCTGGTCTCCCGAGTATGGGGCGTGCTAGCACTTTGGTGGGCTTAAAATCAGGGGGGAAACTGCTGCTAACAGCCAAAATCCTGGAAGAGGACAGGCAGACAAGTTGGCAAGCTGTGTGTGCCTGCACACACCCACGTGTTTGTGCCTCGGAGACCGCTCGCACGGTGCAAGATCCCAAGAGGGAAGGAGTTTGTTTCTAAGGAAAATAAAGATTAAAGAGAATTAAACAAACCGGAGATGGGCCGAAGGAGGAAGAGATGGGGAGCAGATGGTGAGAAGCAGGGAAGCAGGGAGACAGGCACAAAAGCCATGGAAACCCTGGGGGAGAGAGGAAGGAAAAGGCAGGAAGGGAGCAGGGGAAAGGCAGCATGGGGGAGTCAGACAGGGGAGGTCAGGGCGCCGTGGGGAAGTAAAACACCCCAGGCCTTGGCATCGGCTCCTGTGTTTGCCCAGCCTCCTGCTGGGCCTCCCTTCTGCCCGTTTCTTTCCAGCATCTTTGTTCATGAGAGCTCAGTTTGCTGCCGAGATCCAGAATGGGGGAAACCTGAGAGTTATCTCAGTGGAGAGCGTGAGGCAAGGGAGAAAGCGTAACCACGCAGAGAGCTTGCCCTCGAGCTCAGCGAGGCGAGGGCAGGTGGCACCCTGCTATCTTCCCTTTGCCATGGGTCCAAGCTGCCTCGAAGCTACAGCTGCTCTAGCCAAGGACTCAGGCCTTTTGGGGCTGCACTGGGCTGGTAGGCCCTGCCCCGGGGTGGGAGGGCGGAGGGTCTCCAAGCAAGACCTGCAGCGTGTCCCTGTTGCCTCCCGCAGATGGGATCCACAGCGTGACGGCCCAGTGCGTCCTGCGGGTGATCATCATCACAGAGGAGATGTTGGCCAACAGCATCACGGTGCGGCTGGAGAACATGTGGCAGGAGCGCTTCCTCTCCCCGCTGCTGGCCACCTTCCTGGAAGGGGTGGCCACTGTGCTCGCGACGCCCAAGGAGGATATCTTCATCTTCAACATCCAGAATGACACGGACGTGGGCGGCACAGTGCTCAACGTCAGCTTCTCGGCCCTGGCACCGCGGGGTGGGCACTACTTCAGCTCGGAGGAGCTGCAGGAGCAGCTGTACATGAAGCGCATGGTGCTGACGGGTGCCTCCATGCTGGAGGTGCTGCCCTTCGACGACAACGTCTGTCTGCGGGAGCCCTGCCAGAACTACATGAAGTGCATCTCCGTCCTCAAGTTCGACAGCTCGGCCCCTTTCATCGCATCCCCCTCCACCCTCTTCCGGCCCATCCACCCCATCACCGGCCTACGGTGCCGCTGCCCCCAGGGCTTCACTGGGGACTACTGCGAAACGGAGATCAACCTCTGCT